TTACACAAGAAATAACCATAGGAAGCATATATTACCAGATTTTTCATAGCTAGGTAAAAATCACATCATAACTGAACACATATGACATATATATATATATGTGAGCTGGAAATAACTTATTTTCTAGCAATCTTATATTCATATAAAACTTTAATATCTAAGTCATATAAAAACATTATTAAACACTTAATATCATCTATTAAACATGTTAAAAAAATAGCATCTTACCTCCTTCTTGCTTGAAAATCTAAAGTTGCTCCTTGACTTCTTCAAAAATTAAAACTCTATTATTTTTATTTTTTATTTTTCTCTCTCATTCTATCTTTTTGATGAAACTATGATGATTTGAGAAGATACTTGATGATAAAATTTGATTGAAATGCCTCTATTTATAGCCATGAATGTGCTTTTGGCAGATAAAACTTAGTCCACCAAGTTTAATAAAATTCTCACCCATTTGTTGAAAAAAATGCCAACTTAAAGACTTAGCAAAACTTTGTTGTGATTTTCTCATCTCATTCTCACCCTCATTCATCATATAAAAATCTTTAGGAAAAAGAAAATAATAAAAATAATAAAAATCATCCTTTTTATTACTTATGCATTTTCTTTCAAAATGGCTGACTTTTAAAAGTCTTTTAATCAAAAGTAATGCTCATATATGGTCTTGGATCATGCTAATAAAAACAAGAATAATAAAATTTACGGAACTCAATTCGGACTTAAAACGAACGTTTACCGTAAAACTAAAAATTCTAAAATTTAAATTCTTTACTCATATTTTTTTTTTCAATTTAATGAACATATTGCTTCTTAGGATCTAATATAATTATCTTGAAATATTCTACATTTACGGAACCACATTCAGACTTAACTCGAACGATTACCGTAAAACCGAAAATTCTAAAAATTTCGATTTCTATTAAAATAATTTAAATAGACTATAATGTCTAAATAAATTTTCTCACTTCTTTGAACATTTATCACTTAAATGTTCATGGATACTTAACCTTAGTTCAAGACTTAACTTGTATCAACTTATGCTAAAACTCAATATTATGATCTTATCTTGATGGCTTAAACACTTAGAAAAATTCTAAGTATTTAGTACTAAGGCTCAGCTATTTCTTAATTAAGTTCAACTCATGACCGAACATACTTGGTTTCAGTTCACTACTTATCTTAAACGATTAGTCAAAATATACTCAATTTCGATTATTTGTCATCTTATATTAATTAATCCCGTCTTATAAATCCATTTATAAAATAAACAGACCGGAATTAATTAATTACTGAACTGGCTCGATTACTGAATAATATTGAACCGAGAATACTTTCGACTTAAAGTCGAATTTTTAACTGAATAACTTAATAACTGGCTCGAAACTAGGAACGAGCATTAATAAAAGTAATTAGTTCATACTTAGAATAATTACTTTTATTAATTACTGAATGGGATATTACAGCATTATTAGAGGTAAATACAGTTTACCTTAATGGTTGAAATTGTGGTATGACTAGAGAATGGTCAAGTTATTCCACATCAGAACAGAAGTTCAACGAAATTCTCGACTATAGTTAAGTCGGAGAAGTTGAAGTAAATATCAATTGTGATATTGAGTAAAAAGATTTCATGGAAGAGAAGCAAGTATAGAATAGAGATGTGACTTGTTAATGATTACAAGTTGTAACAACCCGCTCATTAGAGTAAATTTTTCGCAACTTTACTTCGAAAATACTTATAACTCTTTCGAAATATTTTGCGACTAACTCGAGATGCTACTCAAACTCATCTTCTTGAAAATCCGTTTATCTTTAAACTTTCTGTCTAATACTTCTCTAGACATAAAGAAAACAGATTTTCTTTAAACTTACATTTAACTGTATCATATTCATACTTCTCGAAATGGTATAAACTTGAAATCTGAATTTTATTAAAAATGCAAGTTCAATACTTAATGTGCATAGCGGAATTACTTAAAAACGTAGTTTATTATACAGACATATCAAATACTTAATAAATGTCCACTTGAAATAAGTGCACGACCACTACCACCACATCTCAAGCTCACACCTCCTGCCCGACCCTGTTACCTGAAAAACACAATGGGGGTGAGTAATGATCCTCTTGTACCCCGAAATCACCCATACTAAAGTAAACAGCAATAATAGTACAATATCATGATCTTTGGTATATATCTGGACTGGAAATCTGTTCCTGTAACTTAAACTGAATCTGGCCGATATCTGATCGGATACTTGTGCACAATCTGATGGATATTTCTCAAGGCAACTCAAGCGGCCTCCATCAGAACTTAGGATATATTCTAAGACAACTGAATGTCTTCTCATCCCAAGCGTATAAACGTAAACTGTATACATACCTCGGACATGATATCAATATTATATTCAATGTAATACCCAGTCTGGGTCCCCACCTTTCTTCTTTTGAAAACTTTTGAAAAATGTAAGTGTTGCTCTTGAGTAGCTATATCTGCAAGCTACATAAAAATATAAACAAATATACTAAGTACTATGCTCGTATACTCAATAAGATTTAACTCTTACTTATCCGAATCTTAAAAATATTCAATAAGCTTAATATGTCTCAAATAAATATTAAGTCATCAAATATCTTAACTTTTTCTTTAACTTTTACTCAAGGTTAATTACTTAACCTTATATAAATCATATCTTCAAAATCATAAATATTATTTTATACTCGCATGTCACTTAAATAACTCGAATGTGAAAATAACTAAATTTCACATTAAACTTGATTGAGTACTTAAACTCAAAACATGCTTAACTTTTACCAACATCATCAACATGATTTATAAACTCATCTTGATCTTTTACTCAATCAAATACTTAATTCATCATACATCATATCTCCCAAATTTTAAATATTGGCTTGTATTAAATTTTCACTTAATTAACTTGAAAGTGAAAATAAACTCAAGTCATACTTCAACTTTTAATCATAACATTTAATCATGATATTAATATGTCATACTTAATACAATCATTATGAGATTATATACTCAACATATTAAACTAAAACTTTGCCAAATTGCTCATCACTTATATGAAAATATTTCATAATAATCTCACTTTAAAACTTGAACATATAATGAATATTTTTGCATATATAATCATCTTTACATATATGCAGTCTAAATATCTTAACTCATTCATTTCTCAACTTTAAATCATGAAATTTAGCAGTCATGTTCTTAACTCATATTTAGACATGTCATAAAAATTTCATAATTTTATCATGCATATTTCTCGACTTATTCAAGTTTAAAGTTGTTGCTGGAAACAAGTACATAAAATTCAGCTTGCGTGATAAACTTTAAAAAATTCATATCTTGAGTTATACTAAACTAAATGACTTGATTCTTGATCCTATGTACTCCTATTTTACACAATAAATAACCATAGGAAGAATAGATTTCCAGATTTTTCATAGCTAGGTAAAAATCTCATCATAACTGAACACATATGACATATATATGAGCTGGAAATAACTTATTTTTAGCATACTTATATTCATAAAAAACTTTAATATCTAAGTCATATTAAAAACATTATTATACACTTAATATCATCTACTAAACATGTAAACTCATTATCAAAACATGAACATAAGCATGTAACTTTAAGATAAATAAATTACCTCCTTCTTGCTAGAGTAAAAACTTGATTCTTTACTTCTAAATTCTTCACTTCTTCATAATTTCTATTACTTATCTCTCTTACACTCTTATATATCTTTTGGTACTTTTCTTTGGTGTGAGAACTCTGATTTTTAGGCCACTATTTATAGGCACAATTTGGCAAGACATCATAATGGAGTGAAGAAATGAACAAAATAAACAATTTAAACTTATAAACTTAATTAATCAAATTCTCTCGGGTGAGAACGAAATTTTCTTGGGTGAGAGCGATATTTCTCTAGCGAGAGTTGAATTCCCTCTTTGAGGGAGTTGGGAGTTTCATTCTAATCTCGACATTGTTTTTAGGCTTTTCTGGGGTGTGGAAGGGGTGCAGTTAGGTTTTTCTTCTGTTTCTGTGACCTATCTGGCTTTTTTCAGACTGGGCCGATTTTATTGGGTAGCTTCTGGCTGAGTAGGTGCCAGTCAAGGAATGGAGGGCAAAGATCCGGGGAGTAGTACTACAGGGGAGGTGGAAGACGGGGTTCTGCGAAAATTAACACAGATGTCTCTCTCAGCTAAGGAGGCAGGTGAAGTGGAAATCAAAGAGGATGACATTATAACTAGCGAAGAGGAGTGTGCTCAGAGTCTTTTTGGCAAGGTAGTGGGTGATAGGCACGCTGGGCTGCTGGGTCTTAAACGAACGATGGGGGCAATATGGAGACTGCAGCACACTATGGAGGTAAAGGAAATCAGTGCAAATTTCTTTCAATTCATCTTTCTCTCTCAAGAGGATAAGAAGAAACTAGTTGCAGGATTCAACTAGATGTATGAAAACCAATATCTCATTATAAAAGAGTGGTTTCCGGGATTACATAGCAAGCACAGTTGTTTTGAGGAGATTACTCTTTGGGTCCAAGTGTTGAATGTGCCTTTAAATTGGATGAGTACTGAAGTGGGTTTGAAAGTAGGTAAGATTTTTAGCAAAGTTAAGAATGTGGTTGTTTGTAAAGTTGGGGAAGATGTGGGTAGCTTCTTGAAACTTCTGGTGGCTATAAACATAAATGAGGCTATTCCTCGGTGCACATCTATCAAACTGGGGAATCAAAGGACAATGGTGATGTTCAGATATGAGAAGCTAGTCAACTTGTGCTACTACTGTGGGATGATTGGGCATTTGGAAAGGAGTTGTATGAAGAAGGGAGCAGATATTGAAAAAGAGTGTGTAGTTGATGGTCAATTTGGTGAGTGGCTAAAAACCGCTGAGACATATCCAGGGGGCAGAAGTTTGCAGTCTGATAGTCCAGGTGATAAGGATTCCCAACCTAGTAGGAGTCCTATTCAGGAATCCTGGGTCTCAGCAAATGCTAATCCAAATGGGGGGGTTCCAGAGTACATAAAGAGTAATGAGGATAGGGGAGCTAGTCCACAACAACCAGGGGAAATGCTAAAGACTGATAGTAGTAAAAAGATTTCAAAGCTCTATGAACATGAAGCTGGTGGTTCTGGTAAAAAGGCTATGGAAATAGAAGAAACAATGATGGTGAAGGCAGTATCTGAGAGCATAGGTCAGAGGTCTGGGTGCAAGTATAATCTGAGAAAGAAGTCTGCTGTTGGGTGGAGAAGGAGAGTACCAGGTAAGAGTAGTTTGAAGAGTGTCCCTGAATCCTCCTGCAAACAACATAAAGAAGGGTCTCTGAAGAGAAGTAGAGCTCTGGTGATTTATGAGGGGGGCCAAAAAGAAGCAGAAGGCAGCTCAGAGAAGAGAATGAAAGGAAATGGTGGACAATATTTGGTGGAGAAGGCCAGCTAAAAGTGGCCCCAGAGTGACCAATGAAGGTCATGGTGTGGAACTGTCGAGGACTGGGTGGGCCCTCGACAGTTTCCCAGATCAAGGATTCGAGGAAAATCCACCACCCTAATATATTATTTTTATCTGAGACTAAGAAATCTGTTAAGTTTACTAAGACTGTTTGTAGGAAGCTGGGATTCCAGGACAGATGGCATTTGGAAAAACTAGTTGGGACTAGAGGTGGGCAATGGGATTCTAATACTGAGGTTAGGCAAATTCTGGGGAATGAGTTTTGTTGTCAAGTGGAAGTGAGAGGCCCAACTATGTCAGTTGGGTGTTGGATGGTTCTTGTGTATCTGAGCACTGATAGAAGGGAAAGATCTGAACAGTGGGAATTTCTTGAAGAAAGCAAGGTGAAGTGGGGCCAATGCTGGATGATGGCAAGTGACTGGAACGACATAGCCTGTAATGAGGAGAAAAGGGGGGGGGGCGTGAGAAGGAGTGCTAGCAGTTTTGTTGGGTTTCAGGAGTTTATCATGAATATGCAGATGCAAGAAGTGGCTCAGATGGGTTCTTTTTATACCTGGGGCAATAATAGAGCTAATGATGGCTATGTGGAGGAGAGATTAGATAAAATATTTGTGTCTTTTGAATGGCTGACCACTTTTCCAAATATGGAGGCATCTAACTACTATAGGTCAGCATCTGATCATAATGTTATCTTATTTGACACTGACAAAGAGCTAGACAGGAAACACCAAAGATTTTCTTTCAGCAGTCAATGGGCAAATTTAGAGGGAGTGCAAGATGCTGTGAAAGAAGGATGGAGTGTGCAGGTGGATGGCTCTTCTATGTTCCAAGTGCATCAGAAAGTGAAGAGCACCAGAATGGCTCTTCTTGCCTGGCACAAGCCACAACACAGGAATAGTGAAAGAATCATTTCCACCATCACAGCAAAGTTGGAAGAGATAAGGGCCGATGGTAAAGACAAAGATTGGGAAGAATGGGAAGTACTAAAATCTGAGCTGGACAATGCTCATCAGGAAGAGAAGATGTACTGGAGGGTTAAATCTAGAGCATTGTGGCTGAAAGCTGGTGATCGAAATTCAAGGTTTTTTCATGCTTTTACATCTCAGAGAAGAAGATCAAATTCTATTTCTAAACTTATTGCTCCTTCTGGTGAAGTCTGTGATACTCATGAGTCAATGGAGAGGCATATCACCAACTTTTACTCAACTTTATTCTCTTCTGAGGGATCTAGTGGAGGTGATGAGCTTCTTCAACATATTCCACAATCCATTTCAGAGGCCCTCAATAATGATCTTGTCAGAGTTGTGAATGAGGAGGAAATCAAGGCTGCTGTGTTTAGTATGGCTCCTGAGAAAGCCCCTGGGGATGATGGTATGTCTGCCTTGTTTTTTCAAAAGTTTTGGCATATTATGAAAGATGATGTATGCAAGGTTGTTTGTAGTTTCTTTAGAACTGGGCATTTACTGAAAAATTGGAAACATACTATTATCACCCTTATTCCAAAATGTTTGTATCCTGACAAGCTAAGTAACTACAGGCCAATAAGTTTATGTGGCGTATTATATAAAATTATTGCCAAGCTGTTGGCTGAGAGGCTGAAATGCTGTTCGGATGTTGTGTCAGTCAAGCCCAGACTGCTTTTGTTCCTGGTAGATTCTTATTGGATAATGTAGTTATTGCTCATGAAGTTTTTCATTTCCTTCATAGACATGTTTCTGGGCCTAATGTGTTTATGGCAGTCATACTTGATATGGAAAAGGCATATGACCGTGTGGAATGGGAGTGTGTGAGGAAGGTTATGAGGAAAATGGGATTTCATGGCAAATTTGTTCACTGGATTATTAACTGCATATCTTGTCCCAGCTTTTCTTTTAATTTGAATGGCAGAGTATGTGGATATGTAACATCTACCAGGGGGATTAGGCAAGGGGATCCTTTGTCCCCTTACCTGTTCATTTTGATGTCTGAAGTGTTCTCAGGTTATTTGCAACATAAGATGAATGTTGGGTGTTTTAGGGGCATAAAAGTTTCTAGAGAAGGGCCTATGCTGTCACATTTATTATTTGCTGATGATGCTCTTATATTTTGTAAAGTTGATGAAGGGCATGCAGAGTTGTTGTTGGATATCCTTCAAAGATACCAAAGGTTTTCTGGTCAGAAAGTGAACTTGCACAAATCTTCTCTATTTATGAGCAAAAACAGTTCTGAGAATCTGCAGGTTAGGATTTCTTCTATTCTAAATGGTGTTGTAGTCAAGAGGTCATCAAGGTATTTGGGGTTACCTCTAGGGATTGGGGCCTCAAAAATTGAGACTTTTCAGTTTGTGGTGGATGCTGTTAGAGATAGAATATGTAGCTGGAAAAATTCTTTTCTTTCAACTACATGAAAGGAAGTATTGGTGAAATCTGTCTTGTGTGCTCTTCCAGTTTTTGTAATGTCTTGTTTTGTATTGCCTGTTGGGTTGTGTAAAGATGTGTGCAGGTTAGTGGCCTTTCTGGTGGAATAAGGGGGATAGACAGAAACAGAATTTGCATTGGCTCTCTTGGGATAAAATGTCTATTCCAAAGGATGAAGGGGGTCTTGGTTTTCTGGACCTTAAGCTCTTTAATAAAGCTCTGATATTGAAACATTTATGGAGGCTCATTGAGCAGCCTGAGATGCTGATGTGCAGAGTTATCAAGAGCAAATATTTCAAAAACTGCTCCATTTTTTACTGGGAAAAATCTGGAAGTGCATCTTGGCTCTGGAAGTCATGGGCTTCCTATCTTCCTCAGTTGCAACAACAGGTAAACCTTGTTATTAGAAATGGCCAAACCACAAAGATAAATGAGGTGAACTGGGTGCCAGGGGTGAACTGTAGGAAACCTGAGCTGAGAGTTAATGTTGATGGGAACTTATTCTGGGTGAAAGATTTGCTGATTGCAGGTGGAGTGCAGTGGGATAATAACTTAGTCAGAGCTTTATTCACTGAAGTTGATGCTGATAAAATTCTGGAAATCCAATCTCTGAATCCCAGGGCAGCTGACCAATGGAATTGCTCATTTATCTGCAAAGGAAAGTTTTCTGTGAAGAAAGCCTATTCCAAGATGCTGTCTGAGAAGTTGTGTATGAACAATGTGGCTGAAAGTAGTACAATGGCAAGGGGTAACAAGAAAGCCAGAAGAAGATGTTGGGACTTGGCAGTTATGGGGAAGGTGAAGCACTTTATTTGGCAATGTTTTTATAATATCATCCCTGTGAATAGCAACTTGCAGGCCAGAGGGCTTGAAGTGGAGACCATTTGCAGGGTTTGTGGGGAGAAGGAGAAAACGCCGGAACACACTTTATTTCAATGCAGAAAAGCAAGGGTTGTATGGCAGCTTTCTCCTGTAACTTGGAATAGAGTTCATAATGAGATGATGACCTTTAAGCAATGGTGGTGGTGGGTTAGCACCATGGCTGTTAATGACACTTCTGAGGATAGAATCCAGCTCTCCACATATATTCTATGGTGGTTGTGGAGAGCTAGAAATCTATGGGTTTTTGAAAGAATTTGGCAAGATGAAGTTTGGATCATCAGGGCTGCTTTGAAGGACTGGATGGACTTCCACCAAAACAATAACAGGTGATTGCATGAGCGCTTTGTAGATGAGTTAGGTCTTTGTGTCAGTGGCTTATCTAGTTGGTGCTGTTTGTGATGTTCTAGCTTGTATGAGTTCAGTTTGTACTGTTAGTGTTGTATTTGAAGTGTGTTTGGGTCTTTTGTGTTGATGTGGTATGTTGGTGGCTATGTAGCTTTTTGATTTTGCTGTTAGGCGTCGTGTTTGTATTGTGTTTAGGAAGCAGTGTTGTCTTCCTCTCAGTTTACCCAGGATTTGGGTTTGTCCCATATGTACATTAGCCTGTTGGGCTTTGTTCTGTTTTTGAATGGAGATTTGATATCGTTGGAAAAAAAAAAAAAAAAAAAAAAAAAA